ATGCTGTCATTCTGGGATGTGGTCATTTATTTCTCTGCAGAGGAGTGGGAATTACTGGGTCCTGCTCAGAGGAAACTGTACAGGGATGTGACGTTGGAGAATTACAACAACCTTGCGTTCCTGGGTGAGGAAACCTTCCATGATGAATTCTTGATTGTAAGCAGCAAAGTAGCAACTTCTCCATCCATTAGTGAGGTCCATAGGGCTACATTTAAGGAAAATTTAAATAATTCCTATAGCTTTGAAGTATTTCTTCTTCTGTTCCTACTACCCCCCTTAAATGTATCATTTGTACTAGAATATAAGTGGTACACCTTAAAGAGAAGGTCACACACTTCACTTGTAAAACTCTTGTAACTGAGGGGTGTGAAGCTCAGGACCAGCAATTTCCATGTTCCTCCTCAGCATTCTGATGTGCCCATCAGGAAACACATAAGAACTGGTCCTCTATACTCCTTTATTGTATCTTCTCATTCCTGACACACACAATCCTGGAAGGGATCTATTATTGTCCAGGAGATCACACTAACAGTCTGTCCCCTTTTCCTATAAACAGGTCTTGCTTCCTCTAAACCATACCTAGTCACATTTCTGGAGCAAAGACAAGAGCCTTCAGATGTGAAGAGAGGAGTGGCCATCACTAAGTACTCAGGTGTGTCAGGAGGAGGGTGTCAGAGAACAGAGTGGGAAACACTAAGATCTAACATAAATCCATGGAGACACAATGTTCTGCTATAAATAATCTTATTTAAATAAAATTAATTTTTTTCTTTTTTTTTTTAGGGGGAGGGGGGTTGAGACAGGGTTTCTCTGTGTAGCCCTGGCTGTCCTGGAACTCACTCTGTAGAACAGGCTGGCCTCGAACTCAGAAATACACCTGCCTCTGCCTCCCAAGTGCTGGGATTAAAGGCATGCGCCACCACTTCCTGGCCTTTTCTCCTTCTTTTTTTTTTTCATTTTTATTTTTTTTCGATTTTCCCCCATCTTGGCTCTTCAAGACTCTGTAATCCTAGGTGCTTTCTCTCCCACTGAGTCCAGTCATGGCAGCCCAGCTAGTCGAATATATTCCATATCCAGGCAACAGCTGCTGGGATAGCCTGGTTTCTAGTTGCCCAGGACCCACATAATGATCAAGCTGCACATCTGATACATATGGGTGAGGAGGACTAGGTCTAGCCTGTGTATGTTCTTTGTTTGGTGGTTCAGACTCTGAGAGCTCCAAGGATATAGTTGAGTCTCGTTTTCATCCTGGGAGTTCCTATTTCCTCAGGACCTGCCATATTTCTTCCTATTCTCTTGTAAGAGTCCCCAAACTCCATCCACTGTTTGGTTCTGGGTGTCTGTAGCTGTCTGGGTCAGCTGCTTGATGGAGCTTATTAGAAAACAACATACTCCTGTCACCTTTAAAAGTCTAATTTTCTGTATTTTCTGTCAAAGGAGGACATGATCTAACATTTAGGATGCTTAGCATCCCATTAGCTTGGTTTTTGTCCATTATGAGATTATCCTTTGTTTCCTGTGATACTGAAAGCTCTGTCATTTCTATGTAATCTTTAACTTTGGTGCTTATATTTTTATAAGATATATGTACACACATTTTTAAAAGTGATGAATTTTTTCTCTCCTCGGCTAGCTCCCAAATGAATGAAACAGAGAATGTGAGATTTATTTGATATGCTTTACAACACAGTTACTGGCCCATTAATAATTGATTCTAATCCTATAAGGTAATCTGGCTAGCTCCCAGGCGAAGTCCCCATGATCCTTGCATTTTAGTACTGGTCTGGCTCTTTGAGCCTCACATGTTGCCATGATGTCTCTCTGGACCCCTTCCTTATCTTATAACAAATACCGCCTCCAACCCCCGCCTCCTTCTACATCTTGCGCTCTTTCTCCCTCTCCCCTTTCTCTCTCTCTTTGCTTTTTCCTTTTTTTTCTTTCTTTCTTCTTCCTCTTCCCTTTCCCCTGCCACTGCCTCACCTGCCCCTGCCTCCCCCGCCCCTGCCCCTGCTCATTCTACTTCTTCCTCCCTGGAATGGCAGAAGTCCAGTATATACTCTCTTCAGTCCAGCCATTGGCTGATGAGATTTTATCGAGAAGTTAGACCATACATGAGGAACAATGTTTATCCAAACTCAGGAAGGGAGAATCTTAGATTAAGCAATGCAATGCCATGTCTGGATGGTACAAACATATAAGGCAGAGAAATCAACATTAGAGTAATACATGGATAATATTTATACAATGTACAAAACCATTATGCCTGAAGATAAGCATAAAACTTTTTGTTTAGAATCCTTATTTAATGTTATGAAGGAAAGTCTTCCTAAGTCACCTAACTTTCATGTTTTCCAAAACTAAAATTAGAATATATATATATATATATATATATATATATATATATATATATATATAAAATCTATTCAGGTGTTTTCCAAGTTAAACTACTTCATACTTTGTTTTTAACTAATTGTAAATATTCTGTATTTGTTTAAGGGGCTGAATTTTATTGTATAATGCCATTATGGGTTTTCTCAGTTGATATTATCCTTTCCTTATATGATTGATTTTCATTATTCCTTTGTTTCCCTGTTCTATATTGTCATCGTCTTCTTACTTCAGTGCAAGTCCACATGATTTTCCCCTATTCTGTGCTTTAAATTAGACTTTATTGAATACAGTCATAGAGATCTGAATGTACTTTATCATTTATATAGACAAAGGCAAGTATGAGTACATTTTAAAAAGAAAAACAGTGTAAATATACAGAATTTTTCTCCATTTCATTCAATTCTCAACCCTTACTCACCAGGAGGAAAATGTTATACCAGCAAAGAATGTGCAAAAATTTTTGAGTGGGAAAAACTATTTCAAAATCACTACAGATATCATTTAAGAGTGAACGCCTACAAGTGTGAAGTATGTGGCAAGTCCTTCCATTTTCCATCACGTCTTGCTAAACACAACAGAATTCATAAAGGAGAAAAACCCTACAAGTGTGATGTCTGTGGCAATGCCTTCAATTATTCTTCAAGCCTTTCCAAGCATATGAAAATTCATACAGGAGACAAACCATACAAGTGTGAAGTGTGTGGAAAGTCCTTCCATTTTCCATCATTACTTTTGATACACAATAGAGTTCATACAGGAGAGAAACCCTACAAGTGTGAAGTATGTGGCAAGGCCTTCCATACTCCTTCTTTATGTTCTAGACACAAGAAAATTCATACAAGAGAGAAACTCTACAAGGGTGGCAAGGCCTTTGATTTTCCTTCAAAACTTTCCATCCATAAGAAAATTCATACAGTAGAGAAATCCTATAAATGTGAAGTATGTGGCAAGGCCTTCTATTACCCATCAAGACTTTCCAATCATAAGAAAATTCATACAGGAGAGAAACCATACCAATGTGAAGAATGTGGGAAGGCCTTCTGTTTTTCATCATCACTATCTAAACACAGGAGAATTCACACAGGAGAGAAACCATACACATGTAAAGACTGTGGGAAGGCCTTCCGCACTCTCTCATCACTTTCTAAACACAAGAAAATTCATACTGGAGAAAAACCCTACAAGTGTGAAGTATGTGGCAAGGCCTTCCATTATCCATCCTTACTTTCTAAACACAAGACAATCCATACAGGACAGGAACCCTACAAGTGTGAAGTATGTGACAAGGTCTTCAATTATCCATCAAAGCTTTACAAACATAAGAGCATTCACGCAGGAGTGAAACCCTAAAATTGTGATCTATCAGTGAATTCCTTTAGAACTTTCTGGATTTTTTCTACTCATTTGATAACTAACTCTGGGGAGAAACCATAAAAAAGGGAGGAATGTGGCAGACCTTCCTCTACAAAGTCATACCTATATTTACACAGATGAACTCAAAATGTAGAGCATATTTACAAATGAAAAGAATATGTCAAAATAATCATCATATACTTCATTCTGGAGAGAAACCTTACAAATTTAAAAAATGTGGCAAATACTTTTGAAGTCTTATAGCATGGTCAGAACACAGAATAATTTCTATTGGACTTTGTCACCACACATGTGAAGAATGTGGCAAACACTATTATTTCCAGTCTTCTGGTCGTATGCAACATCAAAGAATTCATCTATGAGAGAAAGAAGACATGTTTGAAGAATGTATTAAAGTCTTTTGGACACACGGAAAACTTGGGAAAAAACTCATAATTCATACTAGACTGAAATGCCATGAGTGTGAAAAATATTGCAAACCATTTAATAAGCCTTCTTATATGTTTCAAAACAAGATTGTTCAAAGCGGAAATAGTACAAATGTTAAAATGTTCATAAAATCTTAACACTTCTTCAGACCCTAAAAGCTATCAACAGCTTCCTGACCAGCTGCTTTAAACTTCTGCTGTTTCAACATTCTCTCCACATCTTGTGGTTGGAATAACAATTGCCTTGAGTGCTCTGGAAAAGAATTAATAAGTGTGGCATCACTGGAGTAAGTGTGTCACTGGGGGTCGTATTTGAGGTTTCAAAAACACAGACCCGGTGTCTCCCTCTTCATTACAGACTATGGGTCAATATGTACAATTTTCAGCTACTTCTCCAGCACCATGTCTGTCTGCATTCCACCATGCTTCTTAGCTAGTTACCCACAATACTAATGGACAAACCTCTGAAACTGTAAACAAGCTCCACTTAAATGTTCTCTTCTATAGGAGTTGTCCTTGTTTGGTGTCTCTTTGTAGCAATAGAACACTGAGTAAGGACCCATGGTAGATGATGACTTTGAGCTGTGGCCCAAATTAAACTCTTTAAGTGTACATGTTTTAACACTGCGATGATAAAGAACACTTACTAAATCTTCATGCCAAATGCAGGTTTCAGTCTGACATTTTATTCATATGAATCATATACTTTCTCCCTTCTCCAATATTGCCCTCCCTTTTGTCCCCTTCTCCAAAAAGTGTTTCCTCTCCTCTTTACTGACATTACACACACACACACACACACACACACACAATTATTCCATGTATTTTTAAAGACTAACACATATTTCCCGGGGTGTACTGCACTCAGCCCACCCTGCTCCCCATGCTTGCTTCCCTTTTTTTGTATTTGAATTTGCTCTGGGAAGTGGGGCACACTACCAGTCCCCACCAGAGACCCTTGATTCCACAGATAAAGGACACACATACACACACACACAGTTTGTTACTTTTACAAGTCTCCTTTTAGGCACAATTGCTAGGTACAGATATCTCTCACCTGGAAAAGCATGTCCTTACCAATTTCTTTTTTTTTTTTTTTTTTTTCCCCCGGTTTTTCGAGACAGGGTTTCTCTGTGTAGCACTGGCTGTCCTGGAACTCACTCGGTAGACCAGGCTGGCCTCGAACTCAGAAATCCACCTGTCTCTGCCTCCCAAGTGCTGGGATTAAAGGCGTGCGCCACCACCGCCCGGCCCTTACCAATTTCTTATCTCCATTTCTCCACTCTTCAGTAGCTAGTCCCTCCTAGCCCCTGCCAAACATTTTTGGCCACCTGGCCTGTAGCAGAGGCAACAGGCCTCAGCTCCCCACCCAACCCCTGAGATCTCACATGGTTGTAGCATTCTTTGTCCCGTTAAAGTATGGCAGAAAAGACTACTCTCCTTCTTGACATTTGACTTTTCCTCCCATGACATGAAGGCCCTGCTAGTACATTCTGCCCAGCAATTGGCCCTCAGCCTTCTTTACTGACAAATCAAGAACCAATTGGGGAACAGGACTTTAACATCAGAACCTCCCCTTATACATATCTACATGAACAAACACAGATGTAGTATCAGTATAACCTTTTGTAGTATGAATGTTTTTCTTTTGCAAAATGTAGATACCACACATGTGATTTCTCTGTATATTTGTTTTTGATATTAATCACTTCCTTGCATTTTCAACGTTAAATTACACAGACATTAGCTTATATTTAAAATGCTTTGGCTACCTGAAAAGTTGGGCACTCCCAATCTTTCCCCTGTTACCCCAGTTCCAATCCTTTTACCCCAGTTCCAATCAGGGAAGTGGCCAGTGGCCACTTACCTGAAATCTCACATGGCTGGTTGGCTGTATCTCCTGCTGCTTCTGTGTCCCATGCTTCTTCCCTAAGTCCTGGCAATCCTCTGCCTTCTCCCCCATGCATCCTAGCCTGCACAACTCTTAAAGTCCCTTGCTCAATCAAAGACCAAACGGGGACAAGGACCTTTAGCATTTGGACACAAAGATAAATCATTGAATCAAAGCATTAGAACCAATCTCTAATATGGCAGCACCATGGACTGACCACCAAAACTTAAGTACAAATGAAGTCAGCCAGAGCATAAAGGGCTACAGAGCACAGAGTTAGAGCACTGAACCAAGTTCTTTGGAGGATCCCGGATTGTGGATTCCAGATGTTGGAGACTTTGAACTTTGATTTTAAATGTTGTTGAGACTGTGATAGACTATGGGGACTTTTGAAGTTCAATTAACTGAATTCTGCATTATGTTATGGATATTTAAGCCTATGGGGCGCAGGGACTAGAATGTGATAGTCTGTGAAGGTTTTTCCCACATAAACTTATGTGTTTGAATGCTTGGCCCATACAGAGTTTCACTAGTAAGAAGTACAGCCTTATTGGAGTCGGTGTGGAATTTTAAGGAAGTGTGTCACTGTGGAGGCAGGCTTCTAGGTCGTATATGTAAGCTCAAGTCCCACCCCATCTCCCCAAGTGGGAGACAGGTTCCTTCTGGCTGCCTTTGGATCAAGATGTAGCACTCTCAGCTCCTTCTAAAGCACCATATTTACACGCACGCTGCCATGCTTCCCACCATGATGATAATGGACTAAACAGCTGGAAACGTCAAGCCAGTCAAAATGAAATGTTTTCCTTCATAAGATTTGCCTTGATCATGGTGTCTCTTCACAGAATAAAACCCTAATGAAAACATACAGGTTTGCAAAAGCCCCTTGTCTCCTTACAGGTATATCTTCCCTTCTCCAGCATCTGAACACTTCCTGAGTGCAATTTACAATTTACCAGACAGATTGCCAAACTGAGAGTGCACGTGTATTTGCTGACTTGATGGAAGGTATCACTATCTGGTTAGTGGGAACTGTGACTAAGAAGGACCTTTATCGGATTAGCCTTTAGACAAGTCAGTGAAGGAGAACAAAGTTTAGTGATTATTTGTGGAGGCCTCAGACCAGTGTTGGGTTTTACATTACTAGGAAAGTGAACCTTGCTTGTTTAGCGAGGAAACTTAGATAGCCCCCGATGAGCTGGAGGAAGGGGTAGAGCCTGAAACAGGTCTGAGTGCTTTATCAGAACAAGAAAGAAGCCAAAGATTCTTGAAGTGAAAGGAATATGTTTTTGTTTTCCCAAGGACATCATTTCCAAGATGCTTTTATTGTAAAAGAAAACTAACCCTGATTACAACAGAATGTGTCTCTTATTTATTGACATCTGTTATCCAACAAATCTGAGATGGCTGTTTTGATTTTGAAGCTGAATCATAGTTTTTTTTCCCTTTGCTTTTTTTTTTTTTTGAGCTAGGGTGCTCTCAGAATCCCGTCTGCATGAACATTCATGTTTGTGTTTTCTAGAGAGTAACCCCAGGGATGCCTCCATGCAAAGCACATGAAGATGAGTTTATTTGTTTTGTTTTGTTTTGTTTTGTTTCGTTTTGTTTTGTTTTGTTGAGACAGGGGTTCTCTGTATAGCCCTGGCTGTCCTGGAACTCACTCTGTAGACCAGGCTAGCCTTGAACTCAGAAATCCACCTGCCTCTGCCTCCCAAGTGCTGGGATTAAAGGCGTGCGCCACCTCTGCCCGGCTGAAGATGAGTTTAAAACAAGATAAAAGTAACCACAACAGAGGTGTGAGGATAGATATAAGACACATGCTCAGGAAAGTAAGGAGAAAACTTTCCCATATACACCAATAAATGGTACAATCATTACTTTTGTGGGGAGGAATAAGGGAAGTATATGGATGTATTATCAAGTCATATTGTGAAGTTCAGTGATCCACTCTTTATAAAGTTACCGTTTGCTATATAATCTGCTCACCCAGCTCAGTTATGTCTTCCTAGAAGGAATGGAACTCTCCACACATCCCATTTGAGGGATGCAGTAATGATGGGATCTGTAATGTATCTGGGGAATTGGTGCAGACTCAGCATGGTAGACATAGGGGCTTCTGAGAACTGCACTAGAAAGGGCTCTATTTCAGTGGACTTTTGCTTATCACTGGTGAAAGGATCTATCTTTTAAAGTGGCAACTGGCAGGTGTTTAATCATTTGTGATATATTTAAACATCGGAAAAACAATATTCCTTTCAAATATCATTCTTTTTTTCTAAACGTAAAGCCTTGGTTTTACTTCTTCTTCTTGTGATTGTTCTTGTTCCAGACAGGGCTTCTCTGTGTTGCACTGACACTCTTGAAATTCGCTCTGTAAACTATTGTCCTTCAACTGAGAGTTCCAGCTCTCTCTGACTCCTGTCCAGTGGAAATGAGTGGATGTACCACCATGAGCAGTGTAAATTTTTAACTGTACATTTTATTTTACTTTACTAAAAATTTGTGTGTGTATGTGTGTGTGTGTGTGAGAGAGAGAGAGAGTGTGTGTGTGCCTATCTTTTCTACAACAGATGCCCAATGGTGTCAGTAGAAGGTATCTGATCTCTAGAACTGCTGCTCTATGTGCTTCAGAGCCACCACGTGCCTGTAGAAGACAGACTCATCTTCTCTAAGACGTTAATTACTCTCAGCTACCGAACAGTCTCTTTAGCCTGTAAGCATAGACTTTAAAGTGATGGTGCCAAACATGGCACATACCAGAGATTATTTCAAAGAGAGAAATGGATGTCAGGAAGTGCATGCTGACAGGAGCCTGACATAGCTGTCTCCTTAGAGGTCTGCCAGAGTCTGACATATTCAGAGACAGATGCTCACAGCTAACCATTGAACTGATCATGGGGTTCCCAATGGAGGAGTCAGAGTCAAGACTGAGGGAGTTGAACGGGTTTGCGACCCCATGAGGAGAGCAATAATACCGACCAACCAGAGCTCCCAGGGTCTAAACCACCAGCCTGGGAGCACTTAGGGAGGGAGTCATGGCTCAAGCTGTATATGTAGGGAAGGATGGTCCTGTCAGGTATAGGTGGGAGAGGAGATCCTTGGTCCCCCATGAAGGCTGGAAGCCGTGTGTGGGGGAATTTGAGGGAGGAGAAGTGGGAGTGGGGAGGTAGGTGGAGATATATCCTTATAGAAGCAGGAGGAGGGGGGGATTGGATAGGGGGTTCCTGGGTGGGAGGTGGGGAAAATGGGGTAAGGGGAGAATATCGGAAATGTAAATAAAATATCCAATAAAAAAAATCCTTAATATCTAATAAAAAAAGAGAGAAGTTAAATGGTCAAGATATTAAAAAAATGATAGTAGGTAATGAACTTAAAACTGTAAACATGGCCTAAACAAATATATATTAGGCCTGAGAATCTGACTCCAGTTAGACTTTTCCATAAGTATGCCTAGGCCCCTAATATTCTGCTGAATGAGGCTCCTCCTTGAACCAGTATGTTCAGGTTGTACATAGTATCCGTACAACACCACGGTAGCTCCGCCCACCTACTGAATTACCCAGGCACAACACGAAGAAATGGAGACTGCAACAGAGTTATGAAGGATTAGCACATCTCATGAGAGTGAGTACACTGTTAGGTAGATGTGCACTTAGCAGACACAAACACATGTACACTCATACAAGTAGTACAACCAATGTAAGCTTATTCCTGACTGGCTTACAAATAAACACAACTCAGATAGGGTTATTTCATTTCGCTTTGGCAATTACTGGGGGGCAACCCCTAATCTACTCTTCTAATTGCAGTTCAGGCTGCCTTCCTGGTGGTGTACCCCAGATACTTGCTGCTTCTCCTAGCTACATGTTCATGGTCCATCTTCCCTATGGCATGTTTGTTCTCTTTCCCCATTCCTCATCCTTCTCCTGGTCTCTCTTCCTACTCTGTCTTCTCCACCACCTCCACCATTTGGTAACTCAAAACCAACCCACCTCTAATCCCTCCAGTAAGTGGCTATATCCAATGTGATTTATCCAATAGTTTTAAATGAAGGAAGAAGGTTTACACAACAAAACTTTGTAAATGTGAGAAGTTAGTAGGTGTAGACCTTGAGGTAGAGCATTTAACATTACCATACATAGCAACACACCAAACCTCAACATATACACATTGGAAAACTAGCCATTCTCAGAAATTCTGTCCTTGTGGTTGCTAACAATGCCCTTGCCTGCAGCATTAAGGAGGAGGACAGACAAGTCATGACCTCATTCTAAACAGACATGCTACTCAAGTGTCCAGGTGACTGTACAGCTGTTGACTCTAGTTTCTCTAAGGGGAAGAACCTGTTCTGCATCCATAGGTAAACGCACTCCCTGGAGAAGAAGAATTCAATAGGGATTTTTCACAGTCTTTGCTCTGAAACAGCTGACTTTTGAATCATTATGCATCAGGCAAGTATGAAGTCTTTTCTGTAATGGGGTTTGTAACTTTGACTCAACCATGAACTTTTCCCAAGAAAAGTTGAGAATTCTCAATACTTCATGGTTCCAGTGTAACTTCTTTAATACACTGACCACATTTGACTGTACTATGAACATATTTCTGATACCTTTGTATTATTCAACAAGGAATCATCTCGGTGTTCTGGTTAGGAGTAATGTCAGAAGTTCAAGGCAGATAACACTGACGTTCAAATATTGTCAAATATGAATGATGACAGGATCAGCAGAGAGTCAGGAAATTTAATAAGGAACATCAAACCTAACACAGACAGAAATCCTATAGTGCACAACTGATCACGACTCAGGACAAACACCATTGTGTTCCCAGGAGCATTGCCCCTCCTTTAGGGAGACACAAAGGAGGAAAACCTGTGGTCAGAGAACACCTGTGGTTACTGGCTTGGATTTCTAAGTCTTGTGTCTTGAGCACCCGAGATGCTTCATGACAGGCAGAGTCACCAAGGATGGTTTCAAGAGCATCTTAAACTAGCTTTTGCTTCCATATTTTTAAGTAAAGCAAGTTATGAAAGCATGAATTTTCCATGCAGTAATAAGATGCTTTAAAATCTACGGCGTTCTAGCAAAAATAACTCGGAAACCTGGTAAACATCACTGTGAAAGGGTTGACTCACAGGCTAACACCGCGTGCTGAGACAACAGAAGTTTAAATGAGTCCAAACGCCACTGCCTGCCCATCTGCAGAAGAGTGTCCCTTCCCAAATTCACCTACACGCAGTTGGTCAGGAACCCAGGCGGTGAACCAACTGATTCTTTGTGATCCTGGAAGTTCCTCGCACTGATTTGTGGGAAATGTAGTCCTTACAACTGCGGCGTCCTCCGAAGGCTGGCCAATGAACTCAAACTTCCGCATTTGATTTTCAGATTTAACTTCTCCCCAAGTTATGTGGCTGTCCCGTTGAGCGCCGCGTTTGGATCTCTGACATGGAGGTTGGTGCAGGGAACAGCGCAATCTTGCAGATTTGAGGGACTATGCAGGGCGCGGGAAGGAGCTTACTTGGGCTTGCTGTGAGACAGGGAAAGCTGCTGACCTGGACGTGCTGTGCTGACCTAGGCTGGGGAAGAAGGTTGGAAACAACAGTATGGCCAGGACAGGCTGGGTCTGCTGCCTGCCTGTGTCTGAGATGCTGAAGGGAGATCACTCATCTTTACTGGGGAAATGTGCTCTCCCTAGCTGACCTGTTCTCATGTGGCTGTAGTCAGAGTCTCAGGTCTTAGAGAACACGTGGACGTCTAGCGTCCCCTATACTTTATGTCCAGTCTAGTACTGAGTTTGAGTCACAAATCCTCCTAAAGTTCCTAGTTTCCAGGAACAGAGTCCTGTTGGGGTGATTGTTGTGTGAGGTGTTAGTTCCTTCTCCTTTGGAATGAATTGTTAGATTTATGGTTGCCTAGGTTTCAATAAGAATTCTGATGTACAATCCTGCCACCTGAATCATCACAATACATGGCGATATAGCCACAGAATAGTCTTGTAACTGGTATGAACCGGTCTTTGCACAATCCAAATTGTTATGGAATTTGCCCCTGCTTAAATATCACTAGACCATAATACCTGAGCAATCCTTAGTATGTGTTCTGTCCAAAATTTGGATTTCTTTTTAGATATGATAGATGGCTTGGTGCCAGGAGAGAAATTGAACTCATGATCTCTGGGAGGGGCTGGGATGTCTCTGAAAGGGAAGGGAGATGGTCCTCCTCTGGTCACATTATTGTCTTCTGTCCATAGTATCAGCAATGTCTAAATTCCCTTAAATGTACTCTGTCCCCATGTCTGGCATTCAGCTTTACTGTTGTCTCTGAATATTTCTAGAAAGATTTCCCCATGTTTTCATGAGGTTATATGAAAAATTTGGAAAGCTCTGGCACATTTGCCATTTGCCGTCTTCTTTTTTTAACATAGGTTCCTGCCATGCAAAGTTCAGTTCTCCTCTTAAAGGGTTAAGAGAGAGTTTAGTCCGGAGCCTTTTGAGTGTCATTATCTGAGAATACAGATTTAGTTTAATCCAACATCTGTGCTTCTACAGAAAGCCGTTTCATGGTTTTAGAGAACAGAGAATGTCATTAACCAAGGAAAGTTAAAATACTTTACTGTGTGTCTCATAGAGATATCGGAGCTATTCTAGTCACCTAAGGTACCATCGGATGAGATTTTAGCTTTTGGACTGGTAGAATCTCAGGTTCTGCCAAGTCAGTGGGTTCTGAGAGGTTTTTATCTATTGTCACAAGCTGTGTGGTCCACTACAGACTGAAGCAAGGACTGACTGTCCTGCAGGAAAAACCAGCCCAAGGTTAGTCAGCTGCCCCTGAACCTGCAAAATTCCAGGCTCTGCCCCTCAATGACCTTCCACATGGGCCATCAGTCTCTTGACACACAGACTCCTTCCAAGAGTTTTGCATTCACAGTCAGACTCGCAGTTTTGTGTGTTTATGTGTTAAGGATTTCTCCTCCACAGCCCCTCCCCCATCTCAGGTGAGCTTGTTTATATTGTCAGTTCAGTCAAACCAAGTGTTAGTGAGGCAGAGCCTGGCTCATGGCATTCAAATCTACTCTCAGGGAACTTGGGCTTCAGACCACCTTGTTCAGTTTACTGGAATTCTCAATGAGTTTGAAACTATATCTAGAATAATAGACATTTCTAAGTTAATGTTGCTAATCTGTAGAAAAAATATAACAATATATAAAGTTGGAATCCCATGGTACCCTGTACACCAAACCAAGTTCCTTACAATGTAGAGAGGCTACAGCAGTGTGTTCATATATAAATTACAGGCAGCAAATATTCATGTGTATTTTAGCCAGCTCTATGACAGAAAAGTGAGCTTAAGCCTATTCTATGACTCAATTCTGTCAGCTCTGCTTTGGAGATAGTCAGGAATCCTTGGGTTCAAAACCATCCTCTCCTTCATAGCCAACTCAGTGTGAGCCTACTCTACTTGAGAACGGTGGTTTAAAAAGATTCTTAAAATGTGTATTTTTTCCATGTGGTAATTACTTCTGGTATTCTCAGTTCTGAGCACTGGTGACCTGACTGAAATCTATCCAGTTGACATCTTGTAATTATGAAAACTTACAAATGTGCTTTAAGAAATTCTATTGACTATATTTGAAGTCTTAAATCCAAATTTTCACTAGCATCCTTCTATTACTGATTAGTGTTGGGGATTAGAAACTTGATTCCATCTACTCTGTGGGGAAGGATCCCTCTCTGCCTGGCTTGACTGTTCCTCTGTGTTTGCAGGGAATGTTAGTTATGTTTGCATATTCTTCTCTTTCATTTTCTGACATCACCTCATGGTGATTTCTTCTGATTTCACATGAATTTTTGAGAACAGCACTGCGGCTCTACAGATAGAAGATGAGAACTTCATCTGCCACTGTCCTTCACATCCAGTGATGAAATCACCACCATCCAGACAATGGAGTAAACTGTCCAGGCGGGATTCCTTCCTCTTCCTCAGGGAGGACTCCAGTCTCCTATGCTGTGCACTCCTGCCCTTTTCCTCACAGGCTCTTTTCATTTCATCCTAATGTTACTGTGAGTGACGGTGTGAATGAAGGACTCCCTGATCTTAACAGGCTTAACACTGTCTGCCTTTTGTGGAGCCCGTATCCTCTCCTTGTCCTACAATTCTTCCACCAACTCTTACATAAGATTCCCAAGCTCGTTCTACTTGTTGGCTGTAGGTTGCTGCATCTCTTTCAGTCAGATGCTGAGTTGATCCTCTCAGAGGACATTTAATGGAAGGTCCTGTCTGCAACAGTCACACACAATTGGTTGTTTCAAATATCCGCAATTTGTGTAAGCAGGTCCCGAGAAAGGGTTTGACTAATCTCACGAGAACAGTCCCTGGTCTCTGTGGTCTTGGGACCCGGGGCAGATGCTTGTCTGAGCCAACAGACCATCTGGCAGAATTTAAATCACAAGTCCTTGGGACCTTGGCTTTTCCAAAGGAGGCTAAGTCAAACATCACAGGAACAGATGGGTGACTCATTATTCAGTGTTCTCAAGGAATTTATCCTTGAGCATTCTCCCTATCTTTCACAGCAGGCCGATTCTCGGAACACTGAATTGACCTTTGTTTCTCCAGCTCTGCATCTGTTATGATGGCCTTGGGCTAGCAACTTTGCTGACCTACATTCTTAACTACTTGTGTTTGTGAATCAAGGCTTTCTGCTATATTGATTTTAAACTAACTTAAAGTTTCTTCTTCAGTATGAGGCATTGGTTCTTGCCTGTGGAAAGGGTATCAAGTTAGGTTAATCAAGCGTTGGCCATTCCTTCTGTCTCTGCTTCATCCTTCCTCTGCACTTCTTGCAGTAGGATAAATTTTGTATCAAAGGTTTTGTCCTTTGATCAGTGTCCTTACCTCTCCAATGGGGTCCTACCTGACTACAGGAGGAAGCCACTTTAGGCCCCATATTCCCCACTGCTAGGAACTCAGCTAGAGTAACCCTCATAGACTCCTTGAAGCCTTTTACATCTCTTCCCAGAGACCCCCCTTCCCCAGCCCACCATAGAATTCCATTCACTCTACTGGCCCTCTCTCCCAGACTCTCACTACACCCTATCCCCATCACCCATTCCCCTTCCTATCCCCTTCCCCACCCACCTCCTTAACCTGTACTTCATGGCTAATATTCACTTATAAGTGAGTACATACTATGCATGTCATTTAGGGTCTGGGTTACCTCACTCAGGTTGATGTTTTCTAGTTCCATCCATTTGCTTGCAAATTTCCTGATGTCCTTGTTTTTAATAGCCGCATAGTATTCCATTCATCTGTTTTGGTATATCTGGATTGTTTACAGTTTCTGACTATTGTGAATTAATCTGTTATGAATGTAGTTGAGCAAGTGTCCTTGTGGTATGGTGGAAGATCTTTTGGGTATATGCCCAGGAATAGTACAGCTGGGTCTTGAGGTAGAACTATTCCCAATTATCTGAGAAAGTGCCAAACTGATTTCTACAGTGGTTGTACAAGTTGGCAGTCCCACCAGCAATGGAGGAGTGTTCTCCTTGACCCACATCCTTGCCAGCATGTGCAGTTACTTGAATTTATGATCTTAAGCCATTCAGTTGGGTGAAAGGTAGAATCTTACAGTCACTTTGATTTGTGTTTCCCTAATGACTAAAGATGTTGGCCCCTTTAAAAGTGTTACCTAGTCACTAGAAATTCCTCTGTTGATAATTCTCTGTATAGTTCTATACCCCATTTTTTAACTGGGTATTCTGTTTGTTGGTGTCTACGTTTCTCAGTTCCTTACATATTTTGGATATCAGCCCTCAGTGGAATGTTATGTTGTTGAAGCCAAGAATCACAAATGTTCCACCTCTGTCTGCCCTGCCAAGCTATGTGCTGCTGTCATCTTTGTTTACCAATCAGAACAAACTGGAGTCTGGGTCCTTCAGTGTCTCATATGCAGACACTGTGTAAGCTGTTTGGGGACCAAAATTATCATTAGAATACAAGGAGCATTAGGCCCAACCCACTTCATCTATGCCACTGCCTGGTCTGTTCACCTTGTCTAACCTTTCCTGTGTGTTTCCTTCCCACAGACTGTTTTCTTCATTTATCTCATCTACTTAGCTTATGTTATCTAGATCACCTACTTTATTTGTAAATACTTGTATGCTACCTTCTGCCAGTTTATTCTACTGTATGTTTTTTTTTTTTTAGGTTTTCTTTTAGGATTATTGGGCTAGAGTTTAGATCACTGCTGCTAGAGTCCTGTTCAGTGTTTCCCTTTATTGAATTCTGGTTTCAAATCCTGGAACGTTTTGTCATTTCCATCATTCTAAAGTTTTCGGTTTCTGAAACATCATAGAAGCATTTATTCTCCTTATGATCATTGTATTTAATGGCACTGAGATGCTTCTTCATGCCTTTTTGAAATGTGTTGTTGTCTTTGATGAAGCTTATGATTGTCTTTTAAAGTCTGTGTCCTAGTGCTCATCTAAACAACATGTAATGGCAAGTGTCTCTATCTTGTGTGATGGTGGGTACAAGCCAGCATGATCTTTTCTATTGCTTATTTTGATATGCAATCTGACCATGTAGTTTTCAGGAGAAAGTGCAGGCATAACAAGAGGTGACCTTGCCTACAGTAAACTTAAATGTTATGTTTGTTTTGTGTGTTTGACTTCATAGCAGCTTCCTTTATTCTTTTCAGTTATAAAAGAGCACTATATTCTTTTAACCCAAATACGTTATTTTTCTTTATATTCCTCTTTTCTCTGGTTTTGGGGTCATCTTAATGGGGTTGGATTTGAATTTCTTTCATTTGAATGAACTTTAATTAAATCATAAAAGTAAAATAATCAGGGAACTGTAGTACACACGATTAATTTGGGACACTATTAAATGGCATTAAAGGATGCAGTATGGTCATTTTTGACCATATAGACGATGTTGGATTTGGTAGCACAGTCCAAGGAGAAGAAGAGCAGGAAAGAGTCTGGGAACAACAGATGAGACTGTGCATTAGTACACACAGAGATGGGCACCGACTCTCCTTGAAGTATGGGATGGGGATTGTGTGAGGAGAGAACCCTGGGTTGTACCTTTTAGAGCTGGAGGGTATTGGGAATGAGGAAGTGGATGCTGCTCTAGGAGCCCTTGCAGGTCTGCAGTCTCCCCTTCCTGGTGTTGTCTGCTTAGGTAGGACAGATTATCTTGAGAGACAGGAGGTCCCCAAAAACATCCCTCCCTGGGTTGTAGCAGACAAGGAAGGGTAAGGAAGGTCAGCTGTATTATTCACATAGGAATCCTGTGTTTAAAGGCAAGAAATCTAACCAAGTCAGTCACACATTGATTGTAAAGGATTGTGAATCAAGTGAGAGATGCAATTTCTATCCCCTTGGTCAGTAATCTGATGAAAAGGAAACCTGGAGGAATATTGATCAATAGTTATTCTTCTTCATTTAGATAAGGTGAAGGAATCTTAGTGTACTGATGCTGCCCCGATTCCAAGGGATTGAAGATCTCTAAGGGCAAACTGTGGAATGGGTGGATCAGGGAAGGAAAATAAAGAAAAAAGCTTAAGGAAGACAAAAGTAATAGCTGGGAACAGCATGTCTTGTATAAACAGTTGACACAAAGTCAAGCAAGTTATAAAGTCCAGCATGCAGTATTGTATTGGTAGATGAAAAAATGACCAAGTTTACCAGAGAACTAAATCATTCAGTGTAGGCAATAAGAGCACAGGATACTTCAGAAACTGCTGCCTTAGGGAAGATAACTCCAGTCGCAGAAGAAGTGTGGAATCCCCTATAGCTGCAACAATGACTTCTTCATGGCACTGTATCCTCTGTCAGAGATGCCTGGCCAAGTCCCCTACTGGATGAAGACATCCAGTTCCCATTGTCCTTTCATGGGGCCTCTGAGACAGTGTTGGTTTAGTATAAGCCCCCACAGTGATTGAACTTACTGCTAAATTTTCTAATTATAATGTGGTTAGTATAATTTCATTCCATTTGTTGTTCTTCCCATTGGGTGCTCAAACTCCTGACTCTTTGTGCAGTATCATTTGGATCTCTCTGTGTATGCTCAGGATCCAGCCCTTCCCAAACATATCGTATAGTATAAGTGGATCTTCATTGTATTTGTCATTTGTGATTGTGCATATTTGGGTTGAGAAGTACCTTCACCCTCACCACGGCTCTCTACTGTGAAGAACGTACACAGTGTGTGCTGAATTATAATACAATGAGGGGACACTAAGGCTCCTTTTTTCCCCAAGATTTAACTATTTTTTATTGTACTAGCTAGAGTATTATGCACTTGAACTCTCCTCATGTGAGTGTAGGAAATGTTAATTTAGGAAATACTCTATAAGATCAGGCTGTGTGAGAGCCTGTAGAGCAATTTCCTAGTGACTGATGGACCATGGCACATACTGATATGCAAAGTGGAACTCTGAGACAGTAGCCCTGCATTCTATAAAGAAGCAGGCTGAGCAAGCCATGGATAGGAAGCCTATGAACAGAACCCCTCCGTTATCTCTAATCATCTCCTGTCTCCAGGCCCCTGTCCTGTTTAAATCCCTGTCATGACCTCCTTCAGTAATGAACTGTGCTGTGGAAGTGTAAGCCCAGTAAACCCTTTCCTCGCCAAGCTGATTTTTGGTCATGGACTTTCATGGCAGAAATAGAAGCTCTAACTAAGACATATTTGTATTTTGTTACCATTTATGTCCAAGAGATTATCTGTTCCTCTCTAAATGGAGTTATGGGCAGTTGTGAGTGGCTATGTAGCATCTAGGAACAAAACCCTGTGTCCTGTGGGGTAGCCAGTCAGTGCTCTTAATTACTGAACTATCTGTCTAGCTTTAACACACTGTTTTTAGTTGCCCTCGTTCTCCATTTTATGGTTCCTAAAAGCATTATACCATAGGAGTTTCTAGGACCTTCTGTGATCCACTTCACTTAGAGATGAGTACTGCATTGCAAACAGTACCACATCGGGAGTGTTTGGGGATTCTTCCTTACCTATATCAGAAGTGTTTCCAGCTCTCCTCTCACTTAGGGTCACCTTTAGATTTATATGCAGGAGCACATGATGCCTCTTTGTATTTGTTATTACTGATGGTTTTATTTAGCATAATGTGTAAGTTAATTGTGGTTATGTCTATCCTAGTATAGTTTCCAAATGAATAATACTCAGACTATGGTTCATTTATTTGGCATTTGCTCAATTACTGGGGGGTTTCTCCTAATCTATTTTTCTAAAGCTAGACTGGCTACTTCCCCATCGATGCTTTCCAAATTCTTGCTAGTTTTGTCTTTCCTGAATTATCTATGCTCCATCAGTCTGTCTGGGGCAGGGGTGGGGCATTTCACTTGGGCATTGCTGCTGATCCATCATGACTACTGGAGAACCTATCCTTACATTTTTCCTTCCTCTCCCAATTTCTCTTTCTAATGTTGTGGACTTTACTTGCAAATCCCAATCCTGTCTTCGAAGCCCTGCCTACCTCTCTCCGGCCCCATGATTGGCTGTTGCTAGTTTTATTTAACCAATATTTTAAATTGGTGAGCCAATTTTACACAGAAATTGCTGGTGAACTCATGGGAGTTTACTTGTCTTGAAATAGCCAGATATTGGTGTTAGTATTCTGTCTAAACTCCACCTCCACAGTTACCTGGCAACACCCAGGCATGCTCCTCCCCACAGTTACCTGGCAACAGCCAGGTAGGCCTGCCCAATATAAAAGGGGCTGCCTGCACCCTCCTCTCTCTGTTGTTCTCTCTTGCTCCCTTGATCCCTGCCTGCAGGTTCTCTGTCCTCTCTCCCCTCCCCCTTCCCTTCCCCCTCTCTCCACGTGGTCATGGCCGGTCTCTACTCCGCTACCTCTCTGTTCTCACTCCCTCTTAATAAACCCTCCCTCGTGGAGCCATCTGGTCTGCTGTGATCTGTCTAAGCTGCGAGTGAAAATTTAGCACTTGAATACATGGAAGCACCACACCAACCCCAAAAATAATGTCTGATATTTACACTTTTTTTTAATTTTATTTTTTTCAGGATATGCTGTCATTCTGGGATGTGGTAATCTATTTCTCTGCAGAGGAGTGGGAATTACTGAGTCCTGCCCAGTGGAAACTGTATAGGGATGTGATGTTGGAGAATTACAACAACCTTGTGTTCCTGGGTGAGAATGCCTTCCATGATGAATTTTTAAGTATTTGTGATTGTGAAAGTTGCTCCCTTTGTACAGTATCTCATGAGAATTTCTACATCCATCAGTGAAGTCCATAGGGCTACTTTTAAGGAAAATTTAAATGATTCCTATAGCTTTGCACTATCTCTTCTTGGGTCCATACCACCCCTAAATGTATAGTTTGTCTTAGAATATAAGTGGTACCATAAAGAGAATAACACACAGTTGTAAAGGTTCTCCTTGTGGACTTTTGAATCTAAACAGTGTCCCAGAAGCAGCCTTAGAGGGTGGGGCTTAGGGTGCCTACACCCAATGTTGAGAAGTGTCCTTGGAGAAACCCCATACATGTACTCTCCCAAGATGAGAGAAGCGGCAGCAGGCCCTTCAGTGTATGTGTGTAAAGGGACAGCTACTTTTTCTGTGTTACCTAAGGGTGTAGAAAATTGAAAAGTACATACTGGAGAGCATCCAGGGGGTGGGAGGAAGATAGTTAAAGATTGAGTCTTGGTTTAACTTTTAACTTCTAACTCCCCTTAGTTTATTACCTTGATTTCTACATTGTTAGAACCACTGATAATTTTGTTCCTGCCTCTGACTTTGGCCCCTTGCATTTTAAATCTACTTAGTTGCTTTTATTAAAGAATGCATAGGTGCAGTGGAGTTAATGGTCCTGAGATAAAGATATCAATAACTAGGTTCAGAGGACCAGAGATATAAGCTGCATAACTATCCAATAGCTTGAAGATTGAAGCATGCACAGAAAGAAAATGGGGGAATGAAGAGGATCTTTGGAACACTTGTCCCCTCCCTCCATGGGAGAGGCTAATTACCATTCCTTAGTCAAAGGACTCTTGCTGGATTAACCTTCAGAGGAGGAAGAGAGAGGCTGATTATCATTCCTCAGACCACAGGGGAGGGAACCCACCTGTGGGTGGGGAAGGCCCAGAGCACATAGACATATTCCACAGGACTGACCAACCCTTGCCACTTACAGACAAGGGAGGTCCTTGCCACCTCATTTCCCAAAGACCAAGCAGTTTAAAAGTCACACTGTTCTGCCAATCATATTGTGTCTAGTCACTGTTTCTCTTTTCCACACCTTAAACTGTATAAAAACTGACGAAACCGGCTGTCTGAGGTCACCACTCCACCTTTGGTGTAGGACAGCCCCAATGCATTAAAAGTCCTCTTCATTAAAATTCATTAAAATTCCTCTTCCTTTTTGCATAGAAAAAAAAATTCTCCTTCTAACCAAGGGGGCTCCTGCACTGCAGTTTTCAAGTTCCTCCTCAGCATTCTGATGTGGCCATCAGAAAACACATAAGGACTGGCCCTCTATACTCATTTATTATATCTTCTCATTCCTGATACACTCAGCCCTGGAGGGACATTTTATTTACCATGTGACCACAGTAACAATGTTTTTCCATTTTTCCACAAACAGGTCTTGCTTCCTCTAGGCCATACCTGGTCACATTTCTGGAGCAAATACAAGAGCCTTCAGATGTGAAGAATCAAGTGGACATCACTATGTACACAGGTGTGTCAGAAGCAGGGTGTCAGAGAACAGAGTGGGAAATGCTAAGAGCTAACATAAATCCATTGATACACAATATTCTGGTATGTCATCTTTCTTAAAATTAAATATATATGTATATATTTTTAATTATTCACCTCACATCTGGCTCATTGCCCCCTTTCTGGTCAGCCCTCCTCAGAATTAATTTGTCTGCCATCCTCTTCAGCTCTAAGCAGGTGGACTCCTTCCTCTGTCATCCACCCCCCCCTCCCCCCCCCCCCCCCCCCCCCCTCCCACACTTAAACACTCTTTAATCCTAGGTGCTTTCTTTCCCACTGGGTCC